AATACCGATGGTACATGTTGGCATATTAAATGCTTCTAGAAGTCCTCTGAGCATAGATGTGTTTAACTTCACTTATCTCATTGTTTTTCAAACTTAATGAATCACAACATCATCATTTTCTATTTTTGTTGTTTTTATCCTCACCGAGGACATTTTTTTTCCATTTTTTGTTCAGATAGAGTGGGAGGGGGAGAGAGAGAGAAACATCAATGTGAAAGGGACACAGAGTGGCTGCCACCTGCACGACCAACCAGGGCCGGGGACAAACTGCAATCGAGGTACGCGCCTTTAGCCAGAACCAAACCCGGGTCTCTCTGGACCGCAGGCCGATACTCTCACCGCTGAGCCAAACTGGCCAGGGCAACATCATCATTTTCAAATATAAAGAAGAGTGAATCAAAACATACTTTTGAAAAGTGTTGCTCTTAGGTAGATTAGAGTCCATTCTCTTTTTCTTTCTCAGTGTCTTTTCCTGTGTGAGACAACTTTAGACTTCAAGACACATTTCCCCAACCTCTTTCCCAAGTTCCCCCAACCTCAACTCTAAAATACAACCGAGAGCCTGGCAATAACTTGGTCAGTTCCTGGGATATTACTGGTGGGTGTTGTATATCAACTCTGATCTGAAGAGAATCCTTGTACAGCTAAAAGAATAAACAGCTCAGTTCCCATTCCTGTTGCTCCTTAGTCACCCCCACAACACTAGCCAAAGTCTTTGTCAACTAAGGAGGACCTATGGGACCCATGGGTTTTGGGTTGTTGTTGTTGTTGTTGTTGTGTGTGTGTGTTTGAAGTGGCCATCTTTCCATTAGAAACTCAGCACTGGCTGAGGCACCAATTAATTTTGCATAAGCTGCCACAGCACCATTAGATGCTAATCCGTTCATTCATAACCACAAGGTATTGTGTTAGGGTCATGTACATGACTTGTGCCTCCAGCCCTGTGGATTTATTTAGTGCTTAGCAGCTAGTTCCTGCAGCTGTGTCCTTTCAATGACTGCTTTATGGTGGCCAAGAGAGTTGAGGTTGGCTGCCAGGACTCTGAGATCTGGAGAAACACATGGACACATTATTCTTTTGCTATGAAGCTATCCAATTCCTTTTCCGGTCAGATGAGAAGATAGTGGGAGGATATCTCTGAAGCAACCCAGCACTTACTGTGGACGATATTACTCATGCCTGACATTATTGCAAAAGAACAGGCTTAAATCTACCCCACAGTGCATTCTTCAGTGAAAATTTAATTACTAATGAAAGTGTATTAATACAAAATATAATTCTGAATGTAGCTCCTGGCTTTATTTGTAAGAACAACTATGGGGCCATTATTTTCTTTACTCTAAAACTACATATTTGATTCAATCTGCTTCAAACAAGAGGCCAGGAAGGAGGGCTTACAATGCTTACTGAATACTAATGAAGCTTTTGCTTAAGTTGCTTTGTGTCGAGATTATTTGCAACTAGATTTCTTCTGCATTTATGTAGAGGGAAAAAATACTTCAGTGGTAGCAAGATTCTTACTTAGCTTGAGCATGTGGAAGAAAGTTCCTTGTCACTTTTTCTTTTGTACTTGTAACATTTGTAAAGGGTTTTGTTCAGTACTAAAGAAAAGCAAAATATCATCATCATTATGACTGGCCTTTGTCCACAGTGGATCTCATCCAGCCTAACCAGTGACTCTGTGACTAACAATCTGAGTTACTAAGTTTCATATGTTTATATATTTCAGCACAATTCTCAGGCTGAGAGTTCTTTTTTCCTTTTTCATGTATTTTCATGTTTCAGGACTCAGAAAGAATGAAATGCCCCTCTGTATTTCCAGTCTAGAGCCACTGAGTGACTAGCTCTGAGCAATTATTGCATAGATTGAATTGTGCCTTCAATATTGGTTAAAGTCAAAGAATTACCAAACTGTCAAAAGATTAGTATATAGTTCCAGGAAAAAAGTCTTTAGCCTGGTAGAGAATTCAGGTAAATATAAATATTTGTGTTTTCACCAGGGTTGCAGCACAAAATAATTTTGAATTTAAAACGCTGGGAACCAACAACTAAAAGAGGATAATGACAGAGAAATACAAGTGTATTTATTGGTTATTAACTTTGTAAGATGCATGTCTTTATTCTTACTGCTTCTTCAAAGAAATATCAGAAAATGGCTGAGCTAAAATATCTCATTTTATGGAAAATTCCATTATTTTAGTAATTTTCTCATTTTACTACATCCATTCTCGTACTTGTGTCAACTTGTCCCTAGATTATAACTGTCCCTGATTGGTCAACCTACAACCATCTTTAAAAGGCAATTATCCTGTCATTTTTACATCAAATGACTTTACAACCATTTGGTCATACATTTTCACAGCATCTCAGATTAATAACACCTTACAGTTTTATAGCATTTTAAAAGAATTCTCTTGCATGTTATCTCATGTTAATTTTGTCATCATTTGCAATAGAGCAGAAATGTATTGCCCCCTCCTACAGATGAGAAAATTAAGGTATATTATATCGATGTAATTGGCTTATCCTCATTTGCTAAAGTTGTATGGACTATTATTAGAAATATTGGAATTCTAGTCTGAAGCTATTCCCCTAGATGTGTAACAGAAATTTGAGATTTAAAAAGAATTCTGCCTCGGCCTGCCGGTATGACTCAATGGATTGAGTGTCCTCCCATGGACTGAGAGGTCCCAGTTCGATTTCCAGTCAGGGTACATGCCTGGGTTTCGGGCTCAATCCCTAGTAGGGAGTGTGCAGTTGGCAGCTGATCGATGTTTCTCTCTCACATAGATATTTCTCTCTCTTTCTCTCTCTTCCACTCTCTCTAAAAAAATCAATAAAAACATATATTTTAGGAAGATAATAAAATAAATTCAATTTTTAAAAATGATTTGTTTCTCATTCTGTAGTCTTCATAGGAAGTCCTATATGGGTCTCTATAGTATGTTCTTGAGTGTGCATTCATAAAATCCCTATTGTCATCCAAGCAGGTTGCATATTTTTCACTAAGAACCTACTGGGTTTTACATTTTTTAAAATATGTTTTTATTGATTTTTTTTTTAAAGAGAGAGGAAGGGAGAGATAGACATATCAATGTGAGAAAGAAACATGAATCGAGCTGCCTCCTGCAAGTCCCACTGGGGATCAAGCCCTCAACCTGGGCATGGTTTTACATTTCAATTAATGGTCTTTTATTTACTACTTCCCTTACATCCTCCACAGAGCCTGAGTTGGGCACACAATTGTTGCTATTTGACTTCTGTATAGCAGCTACATCTGTAATTTAGTCTGAAGTCCCATGCCCCTAATCTGGCCCAATTACCCACAACAGCCTTTTAGGGGTAAATTTGATTTTGCAGTAATACGATGTTGTAAAGTGGGATACTTGAAGACATGCTTTGTCAACCACCTGAACCATACTCACCGGAGTCTTAGCAGTTGAGTCCCACTAGCAGCTTCTCCACCAAAGCCTGCAGGTGCAGGGTAGGGTGTGAGCCTTATGAAACCTAAAGTTTGATCATCAGCACTTTCCGTTTCTGGAACTTTTACTGAGGTTGGTTGTAAAGATGGTTCCTGAGCTTGGTCTTTGACAATGAAAATATTAGATGGTCCTTTACCTTTTGGAAAAGAGGTGAAAGGAAAACTATATAAATGGCCCCAAACAAGGATCTCTGATCATTCTTAGAGCCATGTTTGCTGGTGCGCTAGGAAACAGTGTTAACCCAGTTTAATGGGAGCCGGTGGGCCAGCATGGTGTCTATTTGGAGCGATCCACTGAGCTGTCTTCCTTACCCTGCGTTGGCATTGAGAGACTAAGACCAACTGATGCTGAGCACTGCCAGGGACCACGTCTGAAGGACTAACATTTTTCTGACCTAGAGCGACATTAACTGATTGATAACAATTCACCCTCAAACCAGGCAAAATCAGCATTCCTCTTCCTGCCGTGTGCTAGAACCTGAAGATAAACAAAATCATTTTTTAGAGAGGCCCGAATCAGAAACTGTGTTCAGCCCAGGGCTTCAAGCTCAGCAGGGCAGTAAAGAATGGGGCTGGATAGCAAAGACGAGAGAATAAAGGCTATGTAACGGGGAAAGCAGGGCCCTTGAGAAACCGACAAAGACCCGGGACCTTGGACTGGGAAAGGCTGGAATTAGGGGTTGAATCAACAAGATTCATTAAGAAGATTTCTAACCTGAGGAGAGTGGTTGTTTTAAACTGCAACCTGAAACAACCAAAATCTAACCGTATGTTCTTACAAAAAGTGGTAAAGCAGATAATTTGTAAGATTCCTCCCTTTCCTTCCCCCACCCCCTTGCTGAATGATGTTAAGGAAAGTTCCTATTTCAAACTCCAGATCCTCAACCGCAGTACCGTCCAAGGAAAAACCAATCGCGTGGCTCTTTCAAAACTCCTGGCCTGGCGGCTTGAGGATGTAAAAAATACACCGGGAGAGTTCCGTTCACAGCCCTCCTTAGAGAATGGCCTAGACCGCGGGCTCCTTTGCGCATTTACTTGGGATAAAGAGCACATAAAAATTAGCAAGGACACTGTTGGCCTAAAGCTAGGACGACAGACTTAGGGAGGCGGGGACAAGGAAACACTTTCCCTTCCTGTAAAAATCGAGCCACCGGCAGCCTCGTTCTCCCAAGTTCCAGACCAGAGGGGCACGGACAGGCGGGGTCCCGGGCTCGCAGACCCAGGGCTGCGGCTGCGGCTGCGGCTGCGGCGAGGGACCGCCCGCGGCCTGCGCTCAGGTGGAGCGAGCGCTGCTCGGCGGCTGCTTCCCGCGCTCCGGTCCCGCAACTCCCCGCCGACCCGTCGAGGGAGGGGTCTGGGGAGGAGGTGCCGAGGGGGAGCTGCTGGAGCTGGGCCACGTACAGGGTCCGGTGCGCGCCCTTTTCCAGCCCTTTTCCGCCTGCTGGCCCGGGACGGGGCGGGGCGACCCCACCTCCTACCTCCCACATCGTCCCCATCCCAGATTCTTCCAGCACGCTCCAACCCTTCCCGCTTCCCCGGAGAAACATGGCCGGGAGCAGTGAGGCGGCACCGGACCACGGGCGAGGCATAGTGGTAAATGCAAATTCCTGATTAATTTCGGGGCTGAGTCGTGCGCTCCTGCTCTCTCTCCCCCTCCCTTCTTGTCACCCTCCTCTTAGATTCAGAGCTTAAAGTGCGTTCTGGTGAGTGCAGGCCACAGCTTTGTTCTTCCCTCCCTGGGAGGATCGCGTCCATCCTCCAACCCGGCCCTCCACTACCCACTACCCGCCCCTTCACCCGATGTTCTCAGTGTCCGCCCTCTGTCCCCCCCACCCCACCCCACCCCACCCCGGGCCGGGAATCCGCGGCTCCAGCGTTAAGCCTGTGTCGTGCCGCGTCCCCACTCCTGCCAGCCAGCCTCCCGGAGTCACCCCTGGGAGCGGGGCGGGTCTGTGAAGACCTCCGCGGGCCGTCCTTGGGGGGCCTCCCTTCCTTTTGTGCTTCCTCCTGAGCTCTTCAGCACTGGTCTCTCATTTTGTTTTCCAAAAGGATACTGAGGATTCTCGAGGGCAGCTAGGAAGTAAAGTAGCTCAAGCAGATGAAGTTTGAGCTTTGAAACCTGTGCTGGGACTTTGGCTTGGGGGGGGGGGGGGGGGTCTCTGCCCAAGCTTGAGACAAGCTAGTGCCTCTCGAGCGTCAGTTTTCTCGTCTGCAAAAGGGACACAGCACTAGAGGCCCGTTGAGTTACATGGAGAGTTTATATGTAAAATATGTAGTAGTGTGCCCCGAGGGGAGGACGTCGGATGATGGGTTCCCAGACTAGAGCCTTTGTAACCCAGACAATCCCCTTAGGAGTCAACTAGAGGGCACCCCTCTTTCAGTATCCTGGAATCAAATCGGATTTTCCCGTGGCCACTGGCGTCCGCTGGTGCCTCCCATGGAGAATGATTTCTGGAGAAGGTGGTGGTTATTACTGTGTCAGGTTTAATATAAAACAGTGGCTGTGAGTGTGGCAGGTGGAGCCAATTTACTTTACTAAGATTATTTTTTCAGAGCTCACCCTGTACTGTAATTCACAGATAATATGTGATGATGGATCGACTACATGAGTAAGTGGGTTGGGGAAGGAAACACCTCATGCTCCAATAGAACTAAGGTTGAAATGCGTTGTTCAGTTCTTCATTTAACAGGAGGGCCTTTGCTCTTAAAAGAGTTGAAGTTCATTTATTTATTCATTCCACTCACGTTGACTGTCCTGCTGGGGTTCAGGCCATGTTCTAGGTTCTAGGGATACCGCAGAGAACAGGACAAAGAGAACAAAGAGATAGTGGTTGGAGGAGGGCTAGCACTGCTTTTGCTCAAATGGTCAGGGTGGCCTCTTTTCATGACATTTGAGCCACCATCTGAAGGGTAAGCAGGAGGTAGCCATCGGAAGACTGAAGCAAGAGTACTCAAAATAGTACATACCAAGAGCTGAGAAATCATTACATCCTGAGAAGAAATTTTTACACCAAATTTATGGGTTTTTTTTTATCCTCACCCGAGAACATTTTTTGCATTTATCTTCAGACAGAAAAGAAGGGAAAGAAAGGGTGAGAGAGAGAGAGAAACACCAGCGTGAGAGACACATCGACTGGCTGCCACCCACACGACCCCAACCAAGTGGGACAAACTGCAACCGAGGTATGTGCCGTTAGCGGGAACCAAACCTGGGACTCTCTGGTTCGTGGGCTGATGCTGTAACTGCTGAACCACTGGCCAGGGCCAATTTATGCTTTTAAAAATGTCACCCTGTAGAAGGAGACTTGACTTAGAGTGGTGAACACACAATACAATATACAGATGATGTATTATAGAATTGTACACCTGAAATCTATATAATTTTCTTAACCAATTCACTTCAATAAATTCAATAAAAAATAATTTTTAAAAAGTCACTCCAGTTGCCATGGAGAGATGGTCAGACCTGGGTTTGGGGTGAGGGGGATGAAAATACAAAAGGAAATAAGTTCAGTTCTGGACAGATCAAGTCTGTAATGACCCTAGGGCCTACAGGTCAGGATGCATTGTAGGCAATTTGAAATTCATATCTGGAATTTAGGAGAATGATTGAATATATTTGGAAATCATCAGCAAGTAGAAAAATATCTGATGCTTGGGAGTAGATAGGAATGCCCAGTGAAATGGGGAAAAAATTAAAACTACTGTTATGGATAGAAACCTGTAAGAGGCAGAGTGGGTAAAGAATCAGGAGCAAAGTAGGAGAGAGCAGGGAGGGCCCACGGAACAGAGTTTTGTGGAGGGGCGTGGGGGGGGGTACAAAGAGGTCATTAAGAGTGTCAGATACTACAGAAAGCTAATAGGATCAACGTGGAAAAGTGGCAGCCATTGTATTTAAATTACAAAGCCATTAGTAAAAAAGCTATCCCATCAGTAGAATGGTTAAATATAGCACTGCTATTTAATAATAGATACTCTTAAGAGGGAATGAGGTAAATCTGTATGATTAATAGGAAAGGTAGATTGTTAAAGTCTAAAAAGCAAATGATGGGACTGTGTAAACAGCCCGATCTATTTGTGTCAAAAGAAGCCTCTCAAAAGTAAGGTAATTTTATGGAAGATGTAGGGAGGCAGTGAGAGGGCCTGTCTTGGTTGGAAATAATCAATGTCTAATAGAGATAGTTCCTGCATTTATCTCATTGTCTCCAGTAGAATTCAGGATAATTAGACTAACCGAAAGTTGGATATAGGCAGGCCGGGCAAACTCAGTGGGTTCAAGGTGCTGATGTGTGGGATTCTTGGAAACAGCTAAGGGGTGAGACTCCCTTCCTCTTTGATGTGGAGGGGTAGCCCTGAGTTTGAAATTGGCAGCAGCCATGGCCACTGCCTGAAGGAGAGAGTGGGTCACAAACTGAGGGATTTAACAGCAGAGAAGAGCAGAGATTCACCTTTTATATGTGTTTCCAAATTAGTTTTCTCCCTGCGGGGGACTACTTGAAAAATAATGCAAGAAACATCCTAAGCAAAATATATATATATATATATATATATATATATATATATATACACACACACACACACACACACACACACACACATATATTTATATATGTGTGTATATATATATTTACATATATATTAATGCCTTAGAAAGAAGGTTTTCAATATATCTTTAAATGAGAAAAAGGAATTGGAATGAGTTTTGGGATTTGATGTTGTATAAAATGGCTCAGTTAATGTGTTTATCACTTCCCCAGCTTGGCGGTGTTTTGCATCTTCAAACAGAGAAAGCATTGTTCTGAATAAACTTGGAGCATATTATCTGTGATACTGAAACTATTTAAAGACTTCTTGTTTTGATTTTTTTTTAAAAGCAGATTAATAACATAATTATCTACAGTCCACAGCAGTTTTCATTCCCTCAGGTTTAGGACTTATTTACAATACAATCCGCATGGAACTTCAAGGATAACAAAGGGTAAACCAGTAGTTCCTTTATCTCTAGTTGTCTTTTATCTCAACAATGAAAATTCACCATTCCAGACTCATTGGAAATAAGGCTAGTTTGGATTATAGGATAGTTTTAAAGAATACATTTCTTCTGCTTTTACATTTACAGCTTTAACTATAGTAATGAGATTTGGGCAAGTAGGTTTGAGGCACTTTTTAAAAAATTATTTTTCTTTATTGATTTTAGAGAGAGAGGCAGGGAGAGGGAGGCACAGAAACATGATGAGAGGGAACATCGATTGGCCACCTCCTGCATGCCCCTCACTGGGGATTTGACCCACAACCTGGGCATGTGCCCTGACTGGGAATCAAACCGGCAACCTCTTGGTGCATAGGTTGATGCTCAACCACTGATCCACACCGGCTGGGCAATTTGAGGCACTTCTTTAAATTAAAACATCAGTTGTAAGTAAACTATTAATGTTTCAGTACATCTAAGTGGTTAATATTTATTACATACACACTATAGACTAGATATGGATATGAGTTTATATCCATTGTTTATCTTATTTACTCCCATATGAGGCAGCCATTAACTCCACTTTACAGATGATGATTACACTGGGACTCAGAGAAGTTAAAATGCCCAAGGTCTGTTGTCCCTAAACTCACCTCCAGGTGTGTTGAATTTGTATATCTGTGCTCTTAACTCTATCTGCCTCTGAGCTTTGGATTACCATTACAGTTTGTATCTGTAGGTTGGTTTAATGTGCCATTTTCTTATTTGGGGGTGGGGAGGCATCATTTATTAAGCACTTATTATATATTAGGAAATGTACTAAGAACTATAAATACATTATCTGTTTTGTGCCTTGATCCTCACATCTACCCTCCCTGTTCATAGGCTTTATGTGTCTTATTTATGGGAGGAGAAAACAGTCTCAGCGAGGATAAGTAATTTCCCTAACATCACAGCTTGCAAGTGTCAGAACTTTGCTCCAGAATGTGGAGTGGGGAGTTGTCTCGGATTTAGCCAGAGCAGAGGGCAGTAAAGGATTTGCATGGTGGGAGGAATGGGTTCAGCTGACCATTAGTTAATGATGCCACCACCTGGAAGGGCTCCCGGAAGTAGAGTGGTTAGTATGTGGTCTGGAAGGGGAGCCAGAAAGCGCTATTCACTTCAATGATCTCCCTGGTGTTGATCAGTGTTCCCAACTGGTCTTTACCTTGGCCTGCCAGCAGATCCTCTGGAAGCTGCTCAGCCACAGTGGTACTGAGGTTTCAGCAGGCCCAAGGGATTCTCAGGGTTGAAAGCCAGAGCTGCTCTGTGCAAGTTCAACAGTTGCACCCAGCCAGTTTGCTAGTAGAGGCAATGCAAATGTGATAACTCTTCAAATATGCAGATGACATGCACCATTGGCTATGAGCCTGCCCGTGGAAGCTATTAATTTTCAGAGCCTAAAACAGTGGTGCTCTTAATCACAAGGAGACAACTGAAGGTTGAGGCTGGAGTTTGGGTAGTATTGGGTAATCTGTGGACGGAGACAGTGTCATTCGTTTGCTCATTTAACATTTTTGAATACCTGGTATATTCCAGGTCAGTGTCCTGGGCACTGGGAATTCCACCATGAATAAGATAAAGTCTCTGCCAGAACACACTAATATTCCATAGAGAGGAAACAAGACAACACACACACATCACATCACGTCCAGTGGGAATACATGCTGTGAAGGAAAGTAAAGCTGCATAAGAGGCAGACAAGAATGAGTGGGTAGGAAGTTTATTTAGGTGGTCAGGGAAGACCTCTCTGTGGAGGTGATATTTGAATGGAGACTTAAAGGAAGTGAAGGTAAGCCATGTGGATATCTGGGGGAAGAGGATTCCAGGCAAAAAAAAAATGCAATATTCTTAAGGCCAAATCATGCTTAGCACATTCAACAAAGAGGAGGGTGGCTGAAGCAGAGTGAGGGAGGAAGAGAAGGCTTGGAGACAAGTCAGAGAGGGAAGCCATGGTGCGGACTCTGGATTTTACTCAGAGAAATGGGAAGCCCTTGAAAAAATATGAACAGAAAACTGCTACGATATGATGTCTATTTCTCCAGCTGCCATGTGGGAGGAGTATGTGGGCCAAAGTGGAAGCAGGGAGGTGAGTTTGACAGCTGTGGTAATAGTCCTAGGAGACATAACAGTGACACTGTCAGAGGGGAGGCAACAGAGACGCTGAGAGGTGGTCCTGGTTACGTTTTGAAGGAAGCGATGATAGGGTTTGCTGATGGGTTTCATGAAGGGGATGTAAGAATGGAGTCAACAACAACTCTGAAGTTTTGATCCGAGCAACTGGAAAAACAAGTGGTCCTTTCCTGAAAGAGAAGCATATATTTGGGGGGAACTATTGTAAGTTTGGTTTGGCTGGCATTCCAGAACCTAGAATTGGGATGGGAACAGGTGGGGGCTGGACCATAAGTTGCCTTTCCAAAACCTGAGCAAAAGGGAATTGACTTTAAGTCCTGAGTGAGGGGGAGAGTGGAAAGCAGGAGAATGCCCCAGCATTAAATGAAGTGCAGATGGCATCTAAAAACAACAAAAACCAAACCAGACTGAATGAGTCAGAGGCTGGAAGGGACAGGAATTTTCTCAAGGAGATGAATGGGATCCTAGGAGAACAGATATTTGTGAGGGGCACCAGGAGTTTGAAAAAGAATATCAAAGGACGGGAGCGGGCATCAAGGTCCCCAGAAAGAAGGGGGCTTGACTTGAGTTTCCCCAGTGGAAGCTGAGCTTGAAATACAGACAGAGAAAGAAGAGAGGGAGAAGGTATAGATGCAAGACAGATGAACACAACACAGAGTTGGGAAGGAAGATGACTTGACTGAAGACCAATCTGAAGACAGAAAAAAGATAGTTTAGGGAATGGGACTGGAAGATTAGGGTAGATTTGTATTATGGAAGGCCTGGAAAGCTTAAAGCTGGACAGAGGAGTCTGATGGAAGTGGGTAGGAGTACTTCAAGAATCAGAGCTGGCAATGCAGCCATGATAGGGTTCGAGTGCGTTAAACTGGATTGCATCCTTTCATGTGGCATCCCTTCCTAAAGATCTGAAAATAAAAGTAACACCTGCACCTTCATGTTCTCTTTCACCTCTTTGCTATTTTAACCACAAAACTTGCACATTCCATCCTAAGCAAGAGGAAGACTCGCTAGTAGTCTTCCCGGTATCTGAATAGGCCAGTTTTCTGGAGCAACAGTTTCCCAATAAGGCTGACTTCAGTTTCCACCACAGTACATCCTATAGAAGTCTTTATCAAAAAGACTAGATGACTCAGAAGTTTGGGTCTACACTAATCTCCAGAGACATGCATTTTTTAATAGGAATCTTTCTTAAGGAGATGAGGCATATATAATGCATGGAAATGTAATAGTGTATATAATACTATAGTAATATATGATATAATGTATATATTAATATAGTTGTAAATATATATATACTCATGATATTCATGGTGACATTCATAATTAAGGTATAGATTATATTTTTATACGTATATACTTTTTCAAACTATGCTATCAGATTAGTTATAAGACATCAAGTTTATATTTTTATTATATGATGCCAAGAGTTAAGAATGCAATATGTACTCTGTTCACTTTGGTACTAGGTCCTTTATCAGGTTGAATGAAACATTATCTTGCCTCACTGAGCTTTTCATAGGTCCATGGCATATAAATTTAATGCCATATTGATCATAGTTCTCTGTTTTCAGAAGTATTTTGTTTTTTTCAGATGACAGTTTTTTGTTTGTTTATGGTTTTAAAATAAATTTCTGATAAAAAATACCATAACTAAAATAATTTGATTTGCAGATTATGGATGATTGGCCAGGATATAACTTGAATTTATTCACATACCCACAACACTATTATGGAGATTTGGAATATGTCCTCATTCCTCATGGCATCATTGTGGACAGGTGAGTGCCACTTCCTGTGTGCGGCTTGGCCCTGTGCTGGGTGGGCTGGATCTTCTGTGAATCATGCAATACAATGTAGGAACCTATTCCTGGATCTCTTGTATGTGGTGGTGGACAGCAGTTTTTAGGACAGAGACTTTGAAATAAAAACAATCTGTGCTTTAACTGAACTGTTTACCTGGACATTTTTTCAGGGGAAATGGTAAAGACAGATATACATGCATAAAGTATTACATTATAACTAACAGCCTCAAGATAATGTCCTGGACAAACTAATGAAAATGGGAGACGGAAAAGCATTGCTTCTCACCCAAGGACCTTTGTCTCACATTTTTTAAATTCTTGAGTTAACCAGGGTGAGTTAAGAGGTGATATTTGCCTTCATAGGACAGACCCCTAAAGCCCAAGCTTTTCCTGTAACTTGCATTTGCTTTGGAGCAAGTAATACATCAGAGGTCGACCACTCTTGTGCACAATTTTATTTTTCAGCCAGTGGTAAAATTTCGGGAATAGATATATTTGCAGCTTAAAAAGATCTACACAGAACTCTTTCTGGAATAATATTTCTAGTTCTTTCTAATCTGTCTGCATAGATATTCTCTGGCTCCTTCCTAGCTGATTGGCTTTCCTAAAGCCAACATATCTCTCCTTTTTAAAGTTCCTAAGTCACCCCTGTTTGGCCCTTCATTTTCAGAGAGCCCCCATTCCCTTCAGCCCACCACAAGTGCCAGGATTTATGATCATGCCCCTTTCACAAAATGGTCTTAATGCCCAGACAATTACATTTCCATGTGCCTCTAATTTCTGTGCAAAGGTCAAATTCTTAAGCCTTCACATTAATATGGAAAGCAAGCTTCACAGATTTTACAGTGCATTCCCAGGAATCATAGAGATTCTTCCAAGACCCAGAAATCAGGGTTGGGGAGGTTCTGGGGATAAATGGAGGCTTTGGGCTTCCACTCTATCCTTTCCTTACACAGTAAACTTAAACTTCTGCCCCTACTTTTTTGGTTATATTATTCTGAGTTAAAATTTAACTTTATGAAATAGGTCCTCAGCCAAAAAAAGTTTGAAATAGACTAGGTGGTTACTATTCCCAGGACATTATCTTTCTATCAACTTCTGTATAAAGCAAAAGGAAATGTCATTCTTTCACTCAAATTCTAAAATTTTCCATTGGATAAGACTTGAATATTATGTGTTTCCTCTCAAACTGTAGTACAGTATTAAGGTAAGATCTAGTTTTGGGTTTGTCATGGCTTAATATACCTTTCTATGGAATACAACTTCTGATCTTCAGAGGGGAAAAAAGATTTTGTGATCGAATAAACTTGAGAAATTTTACATCTCCCAAACTGCTAAATCTCCCTTTTGACAATTTATATTTAAATATATGGGAATTTTTTTTTTTTTTAAAGGAAAGAAACCTGCTTGACTTTAACAGTTAAACCAACTTTTGTTGTGCCACAGATGTCTTTGTACTCGATTCAACTCTTAATAACTCTCAGAGGAATTTTCTCTTAACGCCAGTTTGGAAACACCCTGTTTTAAACAAATTCCTACTTTTCTCATCTGATTTTATGAATTAAATTAATTGCATCCTGATCTAGTACATGATTGAGTCCTGGTAAGGTTATTAAAAACCAGATCCCTGTACAGAAGAATCTCCCAGTGAACTTGTTAAAATGTATATTCTTAAGCATTATGTCCAAAAATTTTGGTTTGAAGGTCTGGGGTGAGACCCAGGATTGCCCATTTCCACCTTTAAAATGAATTAAGATATAATTTACATACTATAGAATTTACCTTCTATAGGTAAATAATTTAATGATTTTTTTTTTTTTTAATCCTCATCCGAGGACATTTTTCCATTTTTTGTACAGACAGAGTGGGAGGGAGAGAGAGGAAGAGAGAGAGAGGGAAACATCGATGTGAAAGGGACACATCGAGTGGTTGCCACCCGCACAACCAACCAGGGCCGGGGACAAACTGCAACCGAGGCACATGCCCTTAGCGGGAACAGAACCCGGGTCTCTCTGGACCGCAGGCGGACGCTCTAACCGCTGAGCCAAACCGGCCAGGGCAATTTAATGATTTTTTAAAGGAAATTTTTAGGGTTGGGAAACCATCACTACCATCATTTTACAATATTTCTATCATTTCAAAAAATTTGTTCAATCTCTGCTCCTACCCTCAGCATAGACAATCACCACTCCGATTTCTTTCTCTATAAATTTGTCTTTTCTGAACATTTCTTATAAATTAAATTATACAATATTTAATTATTGATTCACCAATTGAAAGACATCTGGATTTCTAGTTTTTGGCTTTTATGAATAATGCTTCTATGGACATTCTTTGTACGGGTATATCTTTTCATTTCTCTTGGATGGATTCTTTGTAGTGGAATTCTGAGTTTTATGGTAAGTTTGAGAGACTCAGTTATTTTTTAAAGTGGCAGTACCATTTTACATTTCTACCAGCAGTGTATGAGATTTCTAGTTTCTCTACACACTTGCCAACATTTAATATTGTCAGTCTTTCTAAGTATAGCCATTCTAGTGTATATATGAGAGTATCTCATTGTGGTTTGCATTTTCCTAATGATTAGTGTGCTTGTTAGCTATTATATGTCTTCTTTGGAAAGATGTCTATTTAAGTCTTTTGCCAATTTTTAAATTGGATTGTCATCTTACTGAGTTAGTTGTAAGAGTTCTTATGTTTTCTGGACGCAAGTCATTTATCAGATATATGATTTGCAAGTATTTCCCCCCTAGTGTGTGGCTTGTCTTTCATTTTCTTATTGACATCTTTTGAGAAGGATATTAGAATATTCTATAAATGTCAATTAGATCCAGTTGGTTTATGGTATTGGACAGTTCAACTACAGTCGTCCCTCGTTTATCGCGGTTAATCCGTTCCAGACTCTAGCGGTTGCACCTGGTGTTGAAGGGTTCCTGGGGTGCTCGAATACATAGGCCTACAGTTTATACGTACAGTAACTTTCATTTTAGTTGTAATACAGGGGTTTATAATTGACTCAGACAACCAAGCACATGCTGTATCATTTTCACTGTCTGGATCAACTTTTTAATTAATATATTGGTAAAAACCGCGATAGAGTGAAGCGCGAAAGTCAAAGCACAAAGTGGCGAGGGACGACTGTATATCCTTGCTGTATATTCCTGCTTGTTTTCTGCCTGCTGGATCTGTCAGTTACTGAGAGGGTTTTTTTGTTTTGTTTTTTTGTGTGTGTGTGTATGTACCCCTAGCAGAGACCGAACCTAGGACTCTGGTGTGCAGGCAGACGCTCCAACTGCTGAGCCCGACGGGCCAGGGCTACTGAGAGGGGTTTTGAAATCTCTAAATGCAATAGTTGGTTCCTCTAGTTCTGCTTGCAGTTCTGTCAGTGTTTTGACACTGTTGTTAGGATTGTTATGTCTTCTTGGAGAATTGACTCTTTATTATGTAATGATCTTTTTATTCCTGATAATTTCCTTATTCTGAAGTCTGCTTTGCCCGAAATTAACATAACAACTGCTGCTTCCTTTTGATTAATGTTATTATGGTATGTCTTCCTCTGTCCTTTTACTTTTAGTCTATCTGTGTTTTTATGTTTAAAGTGTGTTTCTTATAGACAACATATATTAGCATTTGTATTTTTATCCACTCAGTTTCTGCCTTTTAATTGTTATATTAGACCATTCATATTTAAAGTGATTGTTGTTATAGTTTAATACCATATATGTAACTATTTCCTAATCATTGTCCTTGTTCTTTGTTATTGTTTTTTTTTTATGTCCTCTACTCTGAAATATCTCTCCCCTACAGTGTAGCCTTTGATGATGTGCAATTTACTCTTCTTGTTTTTATTTTTAAGCCTCACTTACTGGGGTTCAACTCTTTGTCTGAATAGCTTAGTCTTCAGCCTTAGATTGATTAGAAATTATACTTAAACACCTCTGGCCAGTAAGGCTTCCACTCTCTGCTGATGAATATGTGTGGGGGTTGGCAAATACATTCAGGTTTCCAGCCTTTTTCAAGTCTTCCTTGGCTTTTACGTTGCCCTGGGCTTTCTTGTGTCTCCTCTGAACATGCGTACAGACTCCATCATTCAGGATGTGTGGGTAGATAAGGCCCTCTCTAGACTCTGCTATGCAGACACACAGCTCTGGTCAGTTTGGGACGTGTGGAGAGTGTATTGTGTCGCCCTCTCCTATGACTGTAATCTCCTGGAATTTCCTATCAAATCCCAGACTGGTCTAACCAGTTAGTTGCTCAAACAGGACTGCAAATACTGGAAAATGGAGCCACTGGCTCTCTCTGTTCACATGCTCCTGAGACAGCCATTTTAGCAGACAATGCTCCCAGTCAGGTGAGCTCCCTCTGGCAGTGCCCCACCCTGGTTCCACTATCTGATTGAGCAACAGAGTTGATGAGGACTGGGGGACTCCATAGGAGTGCTCTTGGGCATGAATCCATAGATTTGCTCTGTTTCTACCTAGTGTTCAATGTTTTCATGAATAAATGATTCTCAGTTTGTTGTATGCTTTTGGTTGATTTTCAGAGTGCTGAAGTGGTTGTTTTTCACAGTTTTGTCCATCTTTATAGTTGCTGTTTGATTCTATCAAGCTGGAAACAAATGTCCTTTATAGAATATCTGACATGCTGATGTACTTTTTTTTTTAATCCTTACCCGAGAGCATCTTTCCTTAGATTTTTTTTTCAGACAGAGGGAGGTAGGGAGGGGAGGAAGGAAGGAGAGAAAGAAAGAGAAACATTGATGTGAGAGAGACACATTGACTGGTTGCCTTCAGTACGACCCTGGCCTGGGTTTGTACCTCAGTCCAGGTATGTGACCTTAACCGGGAATCAAAACTGAAACTCTGGTCCATAGGCCAGTGCTCTAATCACTGAGCCAAACTGGCCAGGGTTGATGTACATTTTTTTTTTTTTTAATGATTTTAGAGAGAGGAAGAGAGAGATAGAAACATCGATGAAAGAGAACATCAGTTGGCTGCCTCCTGCATGATCCCAATGGAGATTTGGTCCACAACCTGGGCATGTGCCCTGATTGGGAATTAAACCAGTGACTTCTTGGTGCATGAGTCCACACTCAACCACTGAGCCACACTGGCTGGACTGATGTACATTTTTTGATGATCATATTTTGAGTCTGAAACCGTGGTTGACATTTTATATGTATATCTGTGTGTGTATATACACACACGTATATAAAACATTTATAATGGGGTAAAAAAAGAAGAAGGGATTAAGAAGTAAAAATTGTCGGTTATAAGAAAAGTCACAGGGATATAAAGTATAGCATTGAGAATATAGTCAATAATATTGTAATAACTATGTATGGTGTCAGACAGGCACTAGACTTAAGGGGTTGATCACCTTGTAAGTTATATAAATGTCTAATCACTATATTGTACACCTGAAACTAATATAATATTGTATTTCAACTGTAATTGAAAAAAATCTTTCTTAATTAAAAACTTTTTTAAGTAAAAGAGGAATCAAAAATATACATAATATATAATATATAAAATATATTATGTAATTATATATAGAGAGATCATATGTAATATAAAGTTATATATCTATATATTTAGTTCATTCAGCTTATTTATTTTAAATCTAATTCCATTTGGGATGCCAGTGGGGACTTTTTTCAAGTATGTACCTTAGATTCTTTCTTTATTCGAGGTTTTAGTGTCATATGGGTGCATGGACAATGGACTTCTGGACATGAAGCAATTAAAGAAAATACAATGACAATTCCAAATTAAATATTGGGTGCTAACCCAAGGTTGTATCATTGCATAACTGCATGAGGCATCATTCACACTGTGTTCCATGGAAATGGTGCCTACTGGAATTGTACTTTAGGGCACCTTTCACATAGGTAATGTGTTATCTTTGTGAAATATAAGGCAAATGTTATTCTTCTGATAGTTACTAAGGGCTTGACTTTTCCTCCAGTCTCTACTAATGTTGTAAGGTGGGTGAGTCATTCTCCCATTCCTTTTTCTCTGCTATAAAGTAAGCGTACTATCAACAAATACCCTCATAGCATTATAGTTAACAACCAGGCTCTGTGGTGATAAAATAACAGCATTCATGATCTTTGACTTTATATTTTACACCTCAACCATTTTTGTGACACAGAGGAGCAACAATGTGCTATTGATGATGTAATTATCAGAAATACGTTTTGAACACTCTTCTCTTTGTCCAACTTGAACAAAGCTTCTTTATCTGTAGGCTTCTGTCTCCAAGCTCTTCTCTGCATTCTCCTGTATAATCTGATATGTGTAGTACATCATGCATTTTTTTAAAAGGAACAAAAATACTCAGAAGTAGTTATGCTTTAATATATCTTTTCATTTCTTCTTTCAGAATTGAGCGGCTGGCTAAGGATATTATGAAAGACATAGGATACTGTGATATTATGGTCCTGTGTGTGCTTAAAGGAGGTTACAAGTTTTGTGCTGATCTTGTAGAACATCTTAAGAACATCAGTCGAAATTCAGATAGATTTATCTCTATGAAGGTTGATTTCATCAGAATAAAAAGTTACAGGGTAAGTTATTTGTTCCATATTTATTTTATGACCTTTAGAATGAACAACTTTATAGAATAAAAGAACTAATAATGTTATGAAAGTGAAGATTGTAATTTTTTAAAATTTGCCAGATACTGCAACCTGTAATTCAAATAGTAGTCTTTAGGGTGGGGCAGGGGTGGGGGTGGGACTTCTGCTATCTATTTTCACCTATATGGAAAGATACTTCAGGAATAATTTATGCTTGCTTTTGTGGTTATAAAGTTGAGTGGTCATTTCCTGGTGCCCAGCTTCACAAGTGAGTGTGTTAAGAATGAGTGTTAAGAAAGGCCAGTGAATACTTTTGTGTCTCTGCCTTCATTGTTGCTGTTCGGCCCTGGAGACCTGTGTGAAGGTGTCCAGCCCAGAGAGGAGAGTGTGAATACATGGGTGGCTGCAGTCGTGACCTTGAAGTAGAGAAGGGAAGACTGTAGGGACAGTGAGTTATCATGTGAGATGAGACAAGACCAGGAACCTCCAACAGAAGGCCCCTCCACCAGTCTATGCAAGGCTCTCTTGGCCACCACTGAATAGAATTGAGCGAGATTATTCTCCAAAGAGCCCATCCCCTTAGCCTTCCCCTCTTCTCTCTTTGATGTTACCTTTTCTGATGTTTTCAATTCAATGTATAATAAGTTATTAAAACTGGCTTACTATTGGGTGAGGAGCTGTTGGAATCAAAACCGTGAAAGTATTCCCATTGATTAAACTAGCTTGCACACTTTAATTCACTCTTTGAATTGACTTTCTACTGAAACATGATAAAATCACTATGAACCTAATGGCTTAAAGCAACACACATTTATTATGTTATACTTAGAAGTTTGGGCATGGGTTCTCTGCTCAGAATCTTCCCAGGCTGAAGTCGAGGTGGTAGCTGTGGCTATTATCTCATCTGAGGTTTGGGCTTCTTTTCCAGATCACTGGTTTTTAGCAGAAGTCTGTTCCTGTTTTCCCCTGGCTCTTGGCTGAGGACCTCTCAGCTCCTAGAGGCTTCCCTCAGGTGTTACCTCCTAGACTCCTCCATAAGCAGTTCACAACACTGCAGGAGACCCTCTTTTAAAGGTTAATCTGATTAGGCAGGTTCACCCAGGATAAACTCCCTTTTGATGAGCTCAAAGTCAATTGACTAATCAATCACCTAATCATGGGAGTGAACAAGTCTCAACCACACTTAAGTAGAGGAGACTATACAGGGTGAGTACTTCTGAGACAGGAATAGGATGGAGGCATTTTCAGTTCTGCCTACCACACCCTGTGATTCCCTTGCCTCAGCTATAGAGCAGCTGGCAAGTTATTTCTATTCTTAAGATGTTCTGTATTTTCTTGATGACTTCTCAGGCTAGGATGAAGCTGTCTTTTGCATACACCTTAACTCTACTTTATTGGTATGGTTGTCTCTTTGAAAACCTTTTCTCTCTTTAGGTTTCTTTCATCCTGAATTAAGTAGCTGTGCTTCCTTCTTATAAGATTTTTTGTTTCTCATTTATTTGGCTTGATCCTTTTTATATCTTTTTCTAAGCAAACAGATTTCTAAAAGTCTTTCAAAAATTGAAGTTGAAATTATTGAGATATAATTTACATGCAGGAGAATTCATCTTTTTTATAGTTCTGAGTTTTTTTTTTTTGTTTTTTAATCCTCCCCCGAGGACATTTTTCCACCCTTTGTTCAGGTACAGTGGGAGTGAGAGAGAGGAACAAAGAGAGAGAGAGAAACATTGATGTGAAAGGGACACATCGAGTGGCTGCCACCCGCACAACCGACCAGGGCTGGGGACAAACTGCAACCGAGGTACATGCCCTTAGCGGGAACTGAACCCGGGTCTCTCAGGACCGCAGGCGGGCGCTTATAGTTCTGAGTTTTGACAATAGCATGCGGTCATGTAAATCACCACAATAAAGATATAGAACAGTTCCATACCATAAAAAATACCCTTGTGTTCTTTGAAGTCAACCCCTTCCCTAACTCCCAGGTCCTGGCAACCAATGATATGTTTTCTGTCCCTATAGTTTTGCTCTTTCTAAAATGTCATATACTACAATCACATGTGATGTAGCCTTAGTAAATCTGAATCTTAGCATAAGTCATTTGAGATTAATTTGTATTATGTGTACCAGCAGTCATTTCTTCTTCTTGTCAAGTTTATTTCTTTTTCAAGATCATTGTCAATAAAGCTGCTATAAATATTCACACACAAGTTTTTGTGTGTACTTCGGTCTTAGATTCTCTTGAGATTTCTTGGTCATATGGTCAATGTATAAAGAAATTGCCAAACTCTCATCCAGAGATTGAATAATTTTGCATCCCACCTGCAATATATGAAATTACGAGTTTTTCCACATTTTCAGCAGCACTTGGTATGGCCAGTGTTTCTTGATCTTTTTCTTCATTTTCTTTATCTTACCCATTTTAATAGGTGATGGTATCTCATTGTAGTTTTAATTTGCATTTCCCTATTGAATAATGATATTGAGCATAATTTCATTTGCATATTTGCTATTCTTATAGTTCCTTTAATGAAGTGTTTATTTAAAAATATCCTGCTCATTTTTAAATATGTTTTTATTAATTTTTTTTTTTTTTTTTTTTTTTTTTTTTTAGAGAGAGAGAGGGGAAAGGAGAGAGAGATAGAAACACCAGTGTGAAAGAGAAATATTCATTGGCTGCCTCCTGCACGTCCCCTACTGGGGATTGAGCCCGCAACCCACCCTGACTGGGAATAGAACTGGAACCTCTCAGCCCATGGGAAGATGTTCAATTTACTGAGCCACACCAGCTGAACTGTTCTTTCTCAAGATTGCTATGACTATTCAGGGTCTTTTGTTGTTCCATATAAATTTTTGGAATATTTGTTTTAGTTATGTGAAATACATCATTGGTATCATGATAAAAATTGTGTTAAATCTATAGATTGCTTTGGGTAGTAGGGACATTTTAATGATGTTAATGTTGCCTGTCCATGAACATGGTATATGCTTCCAATTATTTGTATCTTCTTCAGTTTCTTTCTTCAGTGTCTTAAACTTTTCTGAGTACAGGTCTTTCACATCCTTGGTTAAATTTAATCTGAGATATTTTACTTTTTTTTTTTTTTTTTTTTTTGAGGCGATTACAAATGGGATTGTGTTCTTAGCTTCCCTTTAGATAGTTTATTATTGGTGTATGGAAATGAAAAGGATTTTTGGATATTTATTTTGTATTCTACTACTTTATTGAATTCATTTATCAGTTCTAGTAGTTTATTTTGTGGAATATTTAGGGTACTCTATATACAGTATAATGTCATCTGCAAATGATGACAGTTTTACTTCTTCCTTTCCAGTTTGAATGCCTTTTATATCTTTTTCTTGTCTTATTGCTATGGCTAGGACTTCTACTACTATGTTGAATAAGAGTGGTGAAAGGGGACATTTCTGTCTTATTCTCAATCCCTAGGGAAATGCTTATAGTTTTTGCCCATTGAGTATGATTGTGACTGTGGGCTTGCCATATATGGCCTTTGTTATATTGAGGTATGTTCCCTCTATTTCCACTTTTCTGAGAGTTTTTTTTTTTTTTTTTTAAATCATAAATGGGTGCTGGATATTATTAAATTTCTGTTTCTGCATCTATTGATATGATTATGTGTCTTTTATCCTTTATTGGGTTTATGTGGTGTATCACATTTACTGATTTGTGAATATTGTACCAACCTTGCATGCCCAAATTAATCCCACTTGGTCATGAATTATGATCTTTTTAATGTATTGCTGGGCCCAGTTTGCTAATATTTTGTTGAAGATTTTAGCATCTATGTTCATCAGGGATATTGGCATATAATTTTCTTTCTTTATCATGTCTTTATCTGATTTTGGAACTAGGATAATTCTGGCCTTGTACAATGAGCTTGGGAGTCTTTCCTCCTCTTGAATTTTTTGGAATAGTTTAAGAAGGATAGATGTTAGTTCTTTGAATGTTTGTTAAAATTCACCTGTGAAGCCATCAGATCAAGGACTTTTGTTTTTTGGGAGTGTTTTTTATTACTGCTTCAATTTCACTAGTTGTAATCTGTCTATTCAGATTCTGTGATTCTTCCTGATTCCATTTTAGAGGATTGTATATTTCTAGAAATTTATCCATTTTATCCAGATTGTCCAATTTGTTGGCATATAGTTTTTCATATTTTCCTACAACTCTTTGTATTTCTTTGGTGTCAATTATTACTTTTCCTCGTTCATTTATTTTATTTATTAGGATCCTCCCTCTTTTATTCTTGACGAGTCTCGTTAAAAGTGAGTCAATCTTGTTTATCTTTTCAAAGAACCAGCTGTTGATTTCCTTGATCTTTTGTATTTTATTTTTAGAATTAATTTTGTTTATTTCTGCGCTGATCTTTATTATTTCCTTTCTTCTACTCACTTTTGGTTTGTTTGTTGTTCTTTTTCAAGTTCCTTTAAGTGTAAAGTTAGATTGTTTATTTGAGATTTTTCTTGTTTCTTGAGATAGTCCTTTGAGGACTGCTTTCACTGTATTTCATAGATTTTGGATTGCTGTGTTCTTATTTTCATTTGTTTCAATGTATCTTTTGATTTCTTTCTATATCTCATTGTTAACCCATTTATTCTTTAGTAACATGTTATTTAGCTTCCATTTCTTTGTGTGTTTTTAATTTTTTTCTTCTGATTGATTTCTGGTTTCATACCATTATGGTCAAAGAAGATGCTTGATCTAATTTTAGTCTTCTTAAATTTATTGAGGTATTTTGTGTCCTAACGTGGTTTATCCTAGAAAATGTTCCATGTGCACTTCAAAATAATGTATATTATGCCGTTTTGGGGTAAAATACTCTGAAGATATCAATTAAATCCACCTGATCTAATGTGTCATTTAAGGCTACCATTTCCTTGTTGATTTTCTGTCTGGAAGATCTAGCCATTGATGTCAATGGGTGTGTTAAAATCCCCTACTACAATTGTGTTGCTTTCAGTCTCTCCCTTTC